ACAATTAACCCACAACGGTTAGTTTGACCAAATCCTTAATGGAACAATAAATTTAATTTATAAAATATATTATTTTATTTTTTATTAAAATACTTAAGTTCCAACAATTCCCCCACTATTTTAATAAAAAATAAACTTTTCTTTGGGCAAAGATGGATTATTATGCATAATAAAGGTAGCTAAGCCTTGAACCTTTACTTAGTGAGTCAACGATTCTTAATCCAAAGTCAATAATGAACTAAGTCTTGAACTATGACTCTATTGGAAGATACAAGAATCATATCACACACATAATGATCCGAATGTTGAGTTTTGTCACATAGTTGGTGCGTTATGGCCTTGCACATGATCCCGGTTTTCATGGGTGATCTAGAAAATTGCCCATCCAATTTTCATAGAAGCGGCCTCACTTCGACACCCACATAGGTGAAATTTGTCAAGAGTGCTCCCATAACTAAGACACCCCACTCTATGAGCTACAAATTTCATTAAGAGTATATAACTCAACCCTCAATTCGTTATGGGATAGATGCATCCTCACCTTAGGAATGGGACTGGAAAATTTTTCCATTAAATATTGATGCATCTTTCAATAACGACTTCTCTATGATCCGTTTTTCCCATTCAAAACCCAATTCTCAGAATTCGGGTTGGGTATCCTCATAGGAAGTTCTACATTATTAAGCTTGAATCCCATTCCCCTCGATGAGCACTAGACCTTGGACTATGATCATAGATTTTCCTCCAACTTTTGTTTTTGCCAAAGGCCTAATTGGTGGTATTGTGGGTAAAAAGAGATTCAACTCATTCTCTTTTTCTCACTTTTTCACATCAACCCACATGTTTACTAGCTCATGAAATTCACATTCATTTTTCTCAAATTTTCACTTCATGGTATCACAATTTTGATATCAAATCGAGCTAGTGACCCACCATTTTCTTTCCATACATGTAGAAACATGTATTTAAGAATTTTTAACTCAAACACCATTATACCTTGTTGTACAATAGGAATGTCCATCGCATACCCCTTTTTTCAAATGCCTTATTATTATTTTTTTTTTCATCATACACCATTATACCATAATTGTATAATAGGAATGCATATCACATTTATTTAGTTAAGCACCACTATACCTTAATGTATAATAGGAGTGCATATGACATTTACTTTCTTAAGCACCATTACACCTTATTGTATAATAGGAATGCTATGCAAAATCTCAGTTAGGCATCATTGGTCTCATCACCAATAATAATATATAGGGATATCACAATCCCCCACATTGAGAGCATCTCAAATATGTGATTATCACATTTCTCAAATAATTGAGTTCATGAAGAAACTCATTTTGCTCACAAGATTTTTATAAGAGCATATTTGCTCATCTCACTTTTCATCGCCACAAAAGGGTCCTTGGTCCCGCAAGCTTAAAGAAAAAATTAGCTTACATTTCCAAAATATATCAACCCAAATATCATGTCCATTTTTACCAAAATAATTACATGAACCAACTCAAGTAGCTATTCACTTGGGTTCTCAAAGTGTATTTAATACCAACTGCTAATAACATTAAGCTATCAAATATCACACGTACATTTGCCCAAGAAATCCACATTCATTCCTAACGTTTAACAGTAAATCATAATGTCATTAAGACTATCATGTCTACATAGTAATGCCACATGCTTGCATGAACGGAAAGTTTCCTCCTTTATTTTTATTTTTATTTTTATTTTTTTAACCGTTAGAAATAAAGTCATTCATCAGAACAACCATGTCAAAACACCCAAGTAACTTATATAATAATTATAGAAATATTGAACGGATGTCAAATGGTTGGTATGTCATCATCAAACTACTAATTGAGTGGAATCACAAATTTAATGTGCCAAATTAATATTTGACAGAACGGCTATTCCATGATGATACTACTAAAATACAAAACAAGAATTACTCATGCTTATGGCTACAATCTAGGCAAGCTAGGCAAGCTATACAATGATAATACCTCCGTGTATTTAACCGAAGAAAATTCATGGAGCCATAAGTTATCATTCCAAGTTTCCAACATTTCTAG